ATATTAGGATATGCAAACAAAGTCCTATATTGACTAGAATCGGGAGGATCAAGGGCATATAAGTATGGTAAATCTCTAATAGTATGAGGCCTTTTGGATAATGTCCAAAAACAAAACCATGAGGGCTTAGGCCTAAAATGGACAATATCATACTAGTGTGGAGATATAGTTAAAAAGTTCATATTTGTTCTAACAAGTAGTATCAGAACCCAGATCCCTAGGTAGTGCCACGTGGATGTGGATGTAGGTGCACATAGTGAACCCAAAGTGTGCAGTGATGGCTGCGGATCCCTATAGGATTGCCCAATGCAGGTGGACCTCTAGGAGAGGGCGAGGGTGCCTCAAGAGCCAAGAGAGGGCAAGAGCCCCTCCAGGGTGGGCTTTGGTGTTAGAGGACTTTGTTCGAGGGGGAGATTGTTGGGATGTACAAACAAAGTTTCATATTAACTAGAATTAGGAAGGATCAAGAGCATATAAGTATAGTAGATCTTTATTAGTATGAGGCCTTTTGGATGATGTTCAAAATAAAACCATGAAGGCTTAGTCCCAAAGTAGATAATATCATATTAGTGTGGAGATATTATGGAAAGTCTATACTTGTTCTAACATAAGAAATGTAGTTTTGGGAAGCAGAAAAATAAAGTATTTGGGCCATGTAATCTCAGAAAAAGGAGTGTAACCAGACATAGAGAAGATTGCAACAATTGAAGAGTGGGCAACACTAACAACATTGAAGGAGTTACAATTATTTTTACGCCTCTTAGGCTATTACTGAAGATTTATTCTGAACTTTGGCAAAATAGCAGCTCCACTAATAGAATTATTCAAAAAGGAAAAAGAATTGAATAAAGATACTGCAAATGCATTTCAGAAACTAAAGGAGGCACTCACCTTTGCACCAGTGAGGCTGCCAAATTTCAAACAAACCTTTGTCATTGAGGACCTAAATATAAGTTGTTATCAACATATGAAAAGGAGTTTTATGCAATTTTATTTGCAGTCAAGAAATGGCAACATTATTTCTTAGGGCAACATTTCATCACAAAGACAGATCAAAAGGCTCCCAAACACCTTTTATTGCAACCACCAACAACCCTCATGCAGAATTGGGGATTAAAGAAGCTTATAGGCTTGGGTTTTAGCATAGAATATAAGAAAGGCAAGGAAAACTTAGTGGCAGATGTATTATCCAAAATTGAACATAATGGAAGTTTAGCTGCTATACTTCAGTTTTCTTCTCAACTCATAATTGAAGCTATTGACTCCTGGAAGACAGATTCAAAACTTCAGAAATTGGTGGACAAGATACGATTGACACAACAGACTCCTAAACACTACACCTTTGACGGGACATTGCTGAAAAGAAAAGGCAAATTGGTAATTGGTGTTCAACAAGACTTAAGAAACAAGGTAAGTCATTTTCATGATTCTCTTATTGGTGAATATTCTAGAGTGGAGATGACATATCAAAGGATCAAAGAACATTTCTATTAGAAAGGTCTTCAAAACAAGGTGAAGAAGTGGATTATGAACTGTGTCAGCTGCCAGAGGTATAAATCAATAAATCAGCTACCAACAGGACTTTTTCAACCTTTAGCCATACCTAAGAGAGCATGGAAGTCAATATCTATGGATTTCATTACAAGGTTGCCTAAATCTAATGGGATGAGTGTGATACTAGTGATCATAGACCGGCTAATTAAGTATGCTCATTTCATAGTTATAGGACATCCATTCAGTGCAACAAAGGTGGCAAAGTTGTTTATGAATACTATGGTGAAGTCACATGGTTGGCCAAATAAAATTATCTTAGATAGAGATACAATTTTTTTGAGCAACTTCTGAGCAGGGTTTGCAATCACATGGTGTTAAACTACTGAAGTACACAACTTTCCATCCACAAACTGAGAACCTCAACAAGTCTCGAGAAGACATGTCCAAGCAATGGACATCGCATTTATCCATAGCATAACTTTGGTACAATACCAAATTTCACACAGCCATTCAAATAACACCATTTGAGGCCCTATATGGCTATGTCCCTACAATTCCAAATCTGGTAAACTATGAAGATACACTAATAGAGGTTGTAAATTATACGATGAAGTCCAAAGAGCATATTGGAAGATTGTTGCAAGAAAACCTCTACAAAGCTCAAGAGAGAATGAAAATGTATGCTGACAGGAAGAGGACAGATAAGGAATTCAACTGTGGTAATTTTGTTTACTTAAAGATGTAGCCCTACAAGCAACATTCTTTAGCAAACACAGCATTTCACAAATTATCAGCCAAATATTATGGTCCTTATAAGGTGATTAAGAGGATTGGCAACGTGGTATACAAGTTGGAACTTTTAGGAGATTCCAAATTTCACAATGTTTTCCATGTTTCACTATTAAAGAAACATCATAGCAGTCAGGTAGTCTCAGAATAGCTACTAAGGCTTAATGAAGATAGGGAGTTGATGATCAAGCTAGCAGCAATCTTGGATAGGAGAAGTAAGCAAAAGAATAATAAAGCCATCAATGAAGTACTAGTGCAATGGGAGCACACTAAACCCGAAGATGCAACATGGAAAGAGTTACATGATATACAAGCCCAATATCCTGACTTTGAGTGGAGAGCAATGTAAAGGACTTGGGGACAAGTCCTAGTTAAAGGGAGGGAAATTGTTATAATACAAAATTAGGAGGATTAAAGTAGCATGTCATAGGATTAAATTCTGTTGTTATCCTATTTTTGGTGAGAAAAAAATGGTTCGTACCGTTGGAAGCCAGGCTAATATATAGATTCAAATACTCCTTCTTTCCACATGTGATTGTTGCAACTCATGTCTAAAAACCATGTATCTCATATGTTTCCTCTAGTAGTATTCACATATGCCATCAACAAGACCTCTTCATATGCTTTTGAATATGCATAATTTTCCTATTTCTCTTTACTTAGACATTTTCCATGACAAAAACAAGAATATTGACCAAGTCCTAAGAGAAACACCTTTGTGATTGATGTTATTGTTATTTGGTCAAAATGTCGCATACTTTTGTTATAATACAGAATTAGGAGAATTAAAGTAGCATGTTATAGGATTAAATTCTATTGTTATCTTGTTTTTGGTGGGGGAAAAACGGTTGGTACCATTGGAAGCCAGGATTATATATAGAACCCTTTTGTACATATTCAAATATATAAGAATTTCTCTGTTCAGTGTTTTCTCTATAATTCTAAGTAATTGTGAGTGAATGTGTGCATTCAAGGTTGACATCACATCTAAACTTTGACAACTTTCTTTCTTTATCATTCTCAAATCTCGCATTATTAGTCACTTTGTCATAAAACAAAACAAATCACAATAAAAAAGAAAGTAAGGACGTAAATGTCAAAAGTCCAAAATAAAATTATTTTTTAAAAATCTTAAATTAACATCATTTTGTGAATTCTAATCAATTATTTAATTTTAATTTTAATAATAAAAAAAGCTACGACTTTGCATATAAAGAAATAAATTGGAGGAAACCCTTGCTCTTCTTTAGCTGTAGCAGGAAAATTCGTAGTTTATTTTTTGTTTCTCTCCATTCATTCATCCATGAATGGCTTAAAATGAAAATTTCATCAAAAATTAGTTTTTGAATGAAATGTAGTTCAAATTATTTAAAATTTTAATTATTAATTTTTAAAATTAACAACAGTGATTATTAGATGTAAGTTTAAAAACTCTTACACTCGATCTGAGTATTTCATTTAACTTACATCTAACAGTTAGTGAAGTAATAAATTATAATCTGTTAGATATAAGTTAAATAAAAGGTTCAGACCGAGTGTAAGAGTTCTTAGACTTACATCGAATAATCACTGTTGTTAATTTTAAAAATTAATAATTAAAATTTTAAATAATTTGAACTACATTTCATTCAAAAACTAAATTTTGATGAAATTTTCATTTTAAGCCATTCATGAACGAATGAATGGAGAGAAACAAAAAATAAACTATAAATTTTCCTGCTACAGCTGAGGAAGAGTAAGGGTTTTCTCAAATTTATTTCTTTATATGCAAAGTCGTAGCTTTTTTTTTTATTATTTGTTTTTCAAATCAATTTTCCTTTTACGTTACTTAGGTTGATGACATCACTTGTGCAATCAACTATGATTTGAACTCGCCGCTTGTTACACAAATTTTACAACCTCGTGTGTAATAAATTAGGTTAACAGATTCACGAATTAAAAAATAATTATTTGTTTCTGAATTTTTTTATTATTTGTTTCCGTGTTTTTAGTAGGGTCTTACGATCTCTGAAATAAAAATTATTTAGTTTAAATTTAAATTATTCATGTTAATTTTTATATTAAATTATACATTAATTATATATTATTTTATTTAATACAATTTAATTAGTAGGTAATCACGGAATCTGCAATTTTTTAACTTGGCGCTTCAACCAAATCAAACAGTTGCCTAAGTATAATAAGTAAATTCCTTATCGCTACTGTTCCGATTAGTTCAGCAGATTTGGGAAGGAAGTATTTTATGAAAAAATATTTTAACCTAAAAATTTTTTTTTTTTCATTATTTGATTTGGAAAAGAAAAGGAAAATCTACGGGCAAAGAAGAAAAATAACGATCTCGATATGTGCTTCAACTAAACCAGTTCTTAAATAGGTAAAGTTCTACATGCTTCTACTATAAGCAAAATAATTTGGTCCATATTTTATTATTTAACTTGAAATGTACTATAACATTGGTTATGGTTGAAAATACTTTTATTTGGTAAGAACCAGTTTCTTTTCCTGCATCATGCAAGATTGAAAATAAAATTATTTATAATAATAATATATAAAAGAAAAATTATGTTAAAAGTGTTGCAATAACTTCTTATATCCTCTAATGAATTCATTCTATGAACATGCTATAACGTGCAACATTGTGTATTAAGATTAAAGATCATTATTATCCAAATTCAGCAAGAACAAGATATAAAAATATGTTTTAGCAATTAAACATAGGAAGTCAAATGTGAATTTAATTATCTTTCGTAAGATAGGTAGGCTTTGAGGTTTTCTAACAAAACTACAAAAAGTGAGCATAAGTTCAAGAGGAAAGAATTAGCACTATGTATCATGAGAGAGGCACTAAATGGTGATGATGTATAAGTCAAGGTGGTATGAAGCAAACATCAGAACTTCTATCTAAGCTTTCTCTGGAATTGGGGGGACATAAAAATACAATCCAACTTGCCACTTCTTTGGCCAAATGTATATAGGAGGGCAAGGGGAAAAAAAGGCAAAAATAAAATTGGCCATCACATACAATTTACTGTCAAAGTGGAGAACCGCAACCCAAGATAAGTGACTAGAGAAGAATCCTAAGCAACAATACAAGCCTTGTCATTCTTTAAAAGATATTCCATGAAGCAAAAATCATAAAGCAAATACATGCAAACAATGTAATGTTCAATATACCTGCCAAAGTGAAATATGGTTCTATTTGTGGTTGCTACCACCCTTTTTCTTCAGCAGGCTTCCAAACTTGCCAAGTAAAGGCTTCTTCTTCTTCTTCACTTGTTGCTTGGATGGTGAGTTCGCACCGTCATCAGTGGTCTCTGTTACAGTTGCTCCATTTATCTGATCACAGCCCTCACCACCTTCTATCTTTGAGTCAACTTCACCTTTGAAGGACCCAGCCTCTGGTTCTCTCTCTGGTGAGAACTCTTTTTTCTCTATCTTGCAGCTCTCCCACATTTTAAATTCAACTTCTACCGAATCATCTTTTTCTTTGGTCTCATCTTCCTTCAGTTTTCCATTCACATTCTCGGGTTTGGGAGATTCGGTTTTTTCAGACTTGTCATTTAAGAGAATACTTTCTTCCTGTAAACTTTGTCTGAGTTCCTCTTCATTGGTTGAAAGATCTACCTTGGATACGTCTTCTCCTCCATGTCCATTCTCTTCAGAGAATTCAACTACTTTAGGAAGCATATCGTAGTCTTTCTCACTATCAGTGAGGTCCCCATTTTCCACAGTCTGGTTTCTGGTTGTAGCTTCTTCAAGCAACTTAGATAACTCTTCCACCTTCTGAATAGACGTGGATTCCCTAGATCGGAGTTCCTCATTTTCTTGAAAAACGTTCTGAAATTCATTTTCTTTATCCAATAAACTCTCCTTCAACTTCATACTCTCAGCTTTTGCTTCCTTAAGTTCTTCCTGCAGGTGGATCACCTCAGCCTCAACTTCCTTCAGATTTTCCTTCAGTTGAGTTTCTTCCTCCCTCTTAGCACAAGCCTCTTCCTCGATTTCCTTGAGTAAATGAATCAACCTATTTATTTCTCTTCCCAGGGACGAGTTTTCTTCTTCAGTTTGCTTTAAGCAGTTGACTAGATGAAGTTCTCTCTGCTCCCACTCTACCTTGGAGTTTTCAAGGTTGTTTTTAGAACTTTCAACACTGCATGTAAGAACATCAATCTCGTGCCGTGCATCATCAAGCATGGACTCATATTTTTCATTAGTAGCTTTTAAAACTGACTTTAAATCTTCAATCTGGGTTTCATAGCTTTCATGTTCAGCATGGTTGGCTAATAACTTTTCTTTGGCATCTCTGGCTTCTGCAGATACTTCATGTAAAGCAGAAGTTAAGCTTTCCATTGCCTTTTTAGATTTCTCTTCTTCATCTCTACAGATCTCCAATTCATTAATAAGTTTGTTTTTCTCTTCTAATAGGGTCTGAACACTTGAAATGGAAAGCTTTTCATTGTTCAAAGCCTGAGCCTTCTCTTCTTTGACTGTCTCAAGTTCAGATTTGAGAGATTCAACTTTCTTTGAAATTTCAAGACTTTCTTCCTTAGCTACCAGAAGACAACGCTCTGAATCCTCAAGATCTTCTCTTTGTCTCCCAATTGTCATTTCCAACAATCCTACCTTCTCTTTAAGACTAGAAATTTCAGTTTCTGCATCATGCAACAAATCATTTCTTCCTTCTAGCTGTTTCATTGCAGATTCCAAAGATATTGATGCAGACCTCTCCAACTTATTTGCTTCTTCAACCCTCATTTCTAGTTCCTCAACCTTTTTTGTCCACTCCTCTAGCAAACTATGTGCATAAGATTCAGCCATCTTTGCAGCTTCCAGCTCCACATTAAGTTGTTCAATATAATTCTCTTTCTCTGTCAACTTTGCATCATAACCCTTTGCCTTTTCAAGTTCTTGCTTAAGAGCTTCTATCTCTGCTTGCAGCTCCAATACAATCTTGTTTTCGCTAGCCTCTGTTTCCAGTTTTGAATCTAGTAAGGCCTTCAGCCGTGTCAGTTCAGCTGAAAGAATCTCTGCTTTCTCCACATGAAGCTCGGCAATTTTAGTTGCATCATCTGCATGACTCAGTGCCTGATTCTTTGCATCACAAGTCATGACAAGTTCTTGCTTAACCCGCTGAAGCTCCTGAGTAGTTGAAAGAAGAGCAGACACATCCAAAGCATGCTGATTCCTTACACTTTCAAGCTCTTTCAGCCATTCCTCTTCCTTCTTCTGAGCAGCTTCAATTCCAGCCTGTTCCAACTCAACAGCTCGGAACTTCTCAATCTCAGAATTCTCCTCTGCCCGCTTTTGAGCCACCATGGCCTCCCTGAGTTTCTCATTTGCTTCTTCAGCCACTCTCTGTGCTTCTTTCAGCTCATCAATTGCTTTTGTCTTCTCTTTCTCTGCTTGAATCAGCTGTTCCTTTGCTTTCTTTAGATCTTCTTGAGCAGTATTTAATTGGCTTTGCAATTCTGAACCCTTTGCAGCTCTTGGGGGTTGTTTCTGAAAAATCAAGGAACATAATAAACACATCTCAGAGTACAGATAACCAAAGAAAATGATTACAAAAGAGAATTCTGTGCTGTGTCAACTATCACACATAATGAAGGTTTTAACTGACTAACCTATGGTCACATATTTCAGACGATTACTTATTTTACTAGACTTGTCAAGAGACTCAATGCAATTGGAAAATTCAAATACTACAGTCAAAAACAAAATTCAAATACTACAGTCAACTTCCCAAGTGTGGCCATTCGGTGATAGTGCCAGACATGACTCAATCTCAAAGATAAGAGGAGACACAAAGTCCATTTACTATAACTTACATCAGGCGGGGTTGAGGTGGGTCGTGGTGATTTACGCTCGGCAGGAGGCTTTGAATTCAAAGATCGTGGAGATTTTTCTGCAGACAGGCGCAAATTCGGCAGAGGCGATGGCGATTCTGATTCTGGTTTGGACACTCCTTTGCTCAGTTTACTAACTCTTGGAGTTGCAGGTGATGCTTTGTTGGGAGTTGATGGCCGTGCTTTGTTGGGAGTAGCCGGTGGTGCTTTGTTGGGAGTTTCAGATAAACTGGATCTATCAGATTCACAATGTCAATATCATATCAAAAATGCATTAAATGAACTAGAAAAGACATGACACTACAAAATAACAAAATGCCATATTTGTATCCCAATCAAGTAGATGGATCTAAGCCTATGAAAACTAACTCTTTATACCAAACTCAGTATCTAAAATCATTTTCAAGCCAAACTCATCAAACAAGAAACAACTACCAAGAGAAAGAAATGGAGGATAGTAACAGCTACCCAGAAGTGAAAACTAGGATCAGAGACACAGATGAAATCACTGTTGAAAAAGCACAAGCTAACAAGAACAGAAGAAGATCAAGACAAAATAAGAACCAAAAATGAAAATGAAGTGAAGCCCATCTTTAAACTCCTCGCAAACACCGAACAGATAACAATAAAGCACCGAAATTTAAACAGACGAAGCAAAAGGGTATCACACACATAACTTCAGAAATTCAAACTCAGTTAAAAATGCCTTCAGTCAGTAGATCAAACCTGAAATCAGAAAAATCTCTCACGAACCACCCAAATAGAAAAAAAAAAACAAAAAAACAAAAATGTAAAGCAGTATATCGAAGAAGAAGCTGAAGAATCACACATCAGATCTTAAAGCAACAAGGAGCTTCACAAACCTGGGTTTTGAAGCCATGGCAAAAAGCAAGCAAGTGACGAGAGAGGAGAAAAAAACGTTGCCTTTGCTCAAAGTGTCAGTTGCGGAATTGGTAATGCTCAACTTCCAACATTGTCAGAGACAAGAAACCAACAAATTTGGGATCAGCGTAAGATCAAAAATTCAAAATTGTTTCATTTTTCTTTTTTTGGTTTGTGGGAAAATATTGAAAGGAGAGGAATTTACACAACAAGAACCAAAACCAAATATGTTTAGTTGATTTTCCTGTCCTAAGAGTGGCTACAGTTACAGCAGCACACTATGCTCTCTCTCTCTCTCTCCACCCATGTCCTTCCCTCTCTCACACACAGTGTAAGGAAAAGGAAGCAGTGGTTAGCGTATGTATATCTTGTTAAGGGTGAATAACATGAAATGACAGAAGTAACCCTGAGTTGTTTTCTTTTGTTCCTAAATCTGTGAAAGCCAAAGGCATGTGTAACTTTATCAGAGGCAAAGACATGTCTGTGACTCTTCCAACCTTACCCTTCTTTTCAGGAAAAAGGGATAATTTGCCATGGGATTAGGAACTGCCCCTGCAATGCAACTCCTTTTTCAATTTGTTTTTATTATATATATAATTAGCAACATCTGCATGTGCCAAGAATTTTCAAAAGAAAATAGTTTGGTTTTATGAACTCGAAAATATTTCCAAAAGTGATAGCAATGCACATTGCAGACTGCCTTGCCAGGTTGGATTATTTTAAAAAGGAAGTATGTGGCAAGCAATATTTATTGTTTTTACTTTTGCTAACTTTCCTTATGCTTTAAGATTATTTTCTTAATTATACATTTTGACATTAACTTATCTTTATGACCCTTAAATTGGTTAAAATGTTTTTTTTTTATTTCTCTTATTCATTAACATTTTTTGGGCTGTCTGTTTTATTTTTAAAACATAAAATCACTATCTTTTCAACTTGTAGTTTTATTTAAATAAAACATGTTCAAATAATTTTCACCAACAGAAAAAACAAGTAATTGACATTTTATCTTGCAATTTATACATAATTACCACGAAATAATAATCAATTATCATTCTTTCTTGTTATTTATCGTTAATGAAAACGGTAACAAATAGGTTATTGTCCTAATAACATTGGCAAATTTTGAAACCAAAAAAGTACTAACTGTTAAAAATAAAAAGTCAGTGAGACTGTTATACCAGCCAAAGGATAAATCCAAAAACTTAAGACACATTACTCTTCGATGCAATGGATATTGTTAGAAAGTCATGATCATGTTTTTGCACATAATCCAAAACAAATTAAGAAAAATCACACAAAGGAGTTCCAGTTATTTAAGAATAAAAATTACATTGATTCATGCTTTACTGATTTATACTTCAAATGGCAGAGTCTAAAAGTAACACATGTTAAGATAAAGATAAAAAAAAAGTAAAACATTAACATTAGTCATAATATTATAATCTTAAACATAAAACATAAATCTGAGCCATGTATAAGTATTGCTATGTTGTTGGTGCTGTGTTTTGTAAAATAAGAATCGCTGCAAAAAACAAATGTCATTTTTGTTAACATCTGTACTAAATTAAGACTTATTTAAAGTGTTAAAGTACGATAATATTTTATTAATAAAAACATAATTATTAAATAAAAAACATAATAGCTCAATGAAAACGTGTCATTTTTAAAACGAACTACAAATCACAGTTCTTGTGCCATTGTCTTCTGTTCATATCAGTAAGAAAATTCAAAATACTCATTGTAAAAAATATTTAATGATGGTTAATGAAAGTTGACCCGAGTATTAAGATCGAATAATGTATACAAAAAGGAGTTGAGTGGCTTGTGGGCTAGTGATAGTTGAACTAATTCAGAGAAATAATATATAAATTAAAAAATTCAACGTCAAAGAACAAGAATTGTGATAGGTAGTTTATTAAAAAACTAAGGATGATTGGAATTACTGTTGAATAACGGGAACCACCAGCTGCTACTTTACGTAAATGGCGTAATAAACAAATTAAGCTTACCCCTTTGGATTTGCCATTGGATCAACTTTTGTATGGTGAGAAACTGACTAGCAAACCAACAAACCTTCCTTATCTTGTGGCTGTGGCAAGCAAAACTCATCCTAATTATGTGATATTTCATATATTAGGTGCAACTTTAGCCATCTTTTGAAAGAGATGTTAACTTAGAATTTTTCATTCAACATGCTTATTCTTGTAAATATATAATATCAAGCTTTATTAACTCTGTCAAAAACAATATAGCATTTTTTTTCTCATGTGATGATAAAAAAAAAATGTTAAAATAGAAAATAATGTTATAAAAAAAATATATCATTTGAATAATGTAGCTTTAATAACATGAGCTTTTGTACATAATGAATGAAAAAATAATGAGTATCATCAGTTTAATTCCACACATTTTCCCCCTCATCTCTCTCTTCTTGTTTTATATGAAATTATTTTATATGATTAAAGAATGTAAGGTTCAATTTTTTTCTCATATTTTTTAATAAGTAACTAAAGTTATGTTTAGATGTCAAGTTTAAGAAGAGAGTAGAGAGAAATGGAGAGATTAATAAGGTTTAACTCTGATTTAAAAGTTAACTAATTAGAAAAGAGGGTTTAGGAAATTTTTTTAAATTTTCTAAAACTCTCTTTAACATCAATTTTTCAATTTTTTGAGTTCTGAATTATCTTCTGTTATCCTTTCTTCTTGATATTAAACATAAAAGGGATACTTCTCTTTCCTTCCCTTCTCCTCTCAGTTTTCTTTTCAAACTCTTTATTTTCTTTCTTTTCAAACATCTAAACAAAGTCTAAATAATTAAGTCCATACATTATTCACATATCTATCTAGCTACATTTAATTTGACTTAAAATTAACTTCATATTTTAACTTATTATTCTTCTTTTTAAATTCAAACATACTCTCCTAGTGAATATTTAGATAAAATATATACAAAACTATATACAATGCATATTTAAATATACTTTTTGATTTTGAAAATTTATTTTTATTTTAATCTATATAGAATATTTTTTATATTTGATTCCTAATTTTATTGAAATACATATTGTTAGTCTTTATTTTTAGATAAAAACTATTAACTGATGACGTAACAATGGGTAACTTAAACTTAATTATGTTGCTTCATTACTTAATGCAACAAATTTAACAACAGATATTAAAAAGTGAATTTCAATAAATTAAAGATTAAGTAAAAAAATATAGGAACTAATATTTAAAAATAAAAATATTTGTCTATAATACTAGTTAATTAAGTTGCGAACTTTTTTAAAATTAAAATGAAGTAATGTCTCATGATATATATTATGAAATAAGTTATCTATTATAAAAGGATTTTCATTTTTTCATAAAAAAAAATATCACATTATTAAAAATATATTAATTTAAGTTTAAAACATTATAGTTTTATTGATTAAAAAATTATAAATTTAAAATAATGATATAATTTCCGTTCTTCGCTCAACAAAATTTAAAAAAAAAAAATAGTGTCATATTCTAAAGTAGGAGAGATATTGTCAGATTAAAAAAAATTACCAAAAATTATAGGTATCTCATTTACAAAAATAAAGACTTAAATTTAATATTTTTCCAATACAAAACTCTGTCAGTTTAAATTTTAACGCCCAAATTGAACACCTTAATTTGGTTCAAGTCCAAAGAACACAAAGTGTATACACAAAAAAAATTAATTTGAATATGAAATTTTAAAATATTATATATCAAAATATAAAATTTTAAAGAAAATTATAAAAATAAAAAACTTAAAAATCGTTAATAAGAATTTTAAAATAAAATAAGTCAATTTTAAAAATTACTATTATGAAAAATATCATATTTTATCATATAGTATTTTAAAATACCATTATAAAAAAGGCGTATATGAACAACAACCATTCAAGACAACAATAATAAAAAAAACCGTTATTTTGATCATTCATGTTCCCTTTAACTTTAGCAAACAAAGAAAATCTCAGTTAAGGAGACAAAAACCACGCAAATCGAAGCATAAAATGATAAAAACCAAAAAGAGATTATACTTGATGTCTCCAAATAAATAATTCCATGCACAAACATGATACTCACTCCTTTTCACTCAAAATTAAATATAACTGTGAACTGTGAACTATGTATGAACTGTGAACACTCCCTAATTTTTCAAGCTTTTCCTCCCATCAAAATAAATTAATTAAATGCGCATTTTATTTGTTTGTGATATTGAAAGTCGTTTTTCTAGTCTTACCCAAGAAATTAAGCTCAATCATGTGGTTGCTATCTGCTTCCTGAAATTCTCCAATAATTTGATTAAACCCCTTCTATGGTTGGTTTGGTGGTTGCTTGATTTGATTTTTCTCTTTGCCACCCGCGATTCCTTTTTACCAAACAGATCACATAACCCAACATATGTATATATATATATATAGTTACATGAGAAAAGTCATTACAATGATAAACTATAGTAAAAAAGTTCCATGCCTTCCCTCACTTGTCTCCACCAACCTTTCTTTGTTTTCTTCTCTTTAATTTGTTACTGGTCCCTATTCCAAAGTGGTGAAATATTTCTGCCACGTTCTCTACACCTAATTAGAAAATAATAATACGTTGACAAATTTATAAAGATAAATTTAATATAAAAATTCATGAACGTCAAACTAAATATACTATTTATCAGAACAATATTAAGGTTTTTACTGTCTTCTTAATTACCACTATGTATATTACATGCATGCATGAGTTTTGCCTCCGTTTTCACTTGAGATTAATTACTATTGTTATATGAGTTTGCTGATCTGTTAAGATATCTCACTGTAACAAGAATGATTGAGACACTGAAAGAGCATCATGTAACAGAGAAGTTAAGCATATTACAACTTTTATGGTATACTAATTTACTCAATTAATGGTTCACTGTGTTACTGAAAAGAAGCAGTACAGAGAAAAAAGACAACCATTTGAGTTGATAAAATACAGCCTTGACCAGTTACTTTTCTAGTATGCTTCATCAATTTTCTGGTAAAAGTGGGGTACAAATTTAATGATATATAGTGTGTACATGCAAGAGCTGCAACATATCTAAAGATCATGTGAAGAGGTTTAATTAAAAGTTATAATTTAATATCACCATGCATATCATTTATACATACCAACTCATAGTGGTGCAAATATTATCAAGTACTGCACATGAATAAATGATTTCCATTTATATAAATATATATAAACAAGCCTATATATCTCGTACTTTATTAACATGCACTCTTCCATCCATTTTTTAATTTTCTTTTTTTATCACATTATCTGTTGTATTATTCACAGTC